TGCGCGCGACGACGCGCGCGTGCGCTTTTCGTCTCACTTTGCAAAGGATTCGTAAACCAGTGCTATGTTAGAACAAAAATGTCACCGTATAGTGTTTTTTTACAAGGGACCCTCAGGGGGGGATGCCGGCCCCCCAGGGAATAGTGTAAATTCATAGTTAGGATGGACATGTGGTCATAATCGTAGTTGATTTACATACCCGAAAGGGGGGGTGATAACGCCGGGGGGGGGTAGATCTTTTTTATGTTTTTAGCCCGTCTGCTGAACTTGAAGTCATCTCCACTGCTCGCGCAAGCACCCACCCACCCACCCGCAACTTGGTGTGCAAAACCTTATGAGACCGATTACGACGACAACGATTACGACGACACCGACGACGTCTCCGACGACTTCGATTACGACAACGACGCCGACGACGACGACGACGCCAACGAAGGCGACGACGAGGGAGGGGGAAGGACGACGACGGCGACAACGACGACAACGACGACAACGACGAGAGAGGAGGGAGGACGGCGACGACGCGAACGACGAAGAAGGAGGAGGGAAAACGACGACGACGGCGACGAAATATGAGGGACGACGACAAGACGCCGACGACGGACGACGACGACGACGAGGGAGGAGGAGGAAGGACGACCATGGCGACAACGACGACGGAAACGACCACGACGCCAAAGAGGACGATGACGACGAACACGAGGAATGACAGAGGACGACGTAGGCGACGACCTCGACGACGACGCGGGAGGAGGGAGGACGGCGACGACGACGACGACGACGACGACGCAAGAGCGCGCGCGCATGCTTTTGTTGAAAATCCGTGTTGCGAAACCTTGGGTTTCTGTGGGTTTGTTGGACACACGGTTTCGAATTCCTTCCGAAACCGATGGGTTTTGAAGGATTTCGGCATACGCGCGCGACGACGCGCGCGTCTGCACTTCGTCTTGTTTTTTGCAGAGGATTCTCGCGACGGCACGCGCGCAAGGGCGTTGGACAGATTTCGACATGCGCGCGCGAAACCCGTTTGGTAGCATGTTGTGAAAATCTTGAAAAACCAATGGTTTTCTTAAGATTTCGCAAAAGCTCGCGCGGAAGCTTTTTTAGCAGATCAGTGTTGCGAAAGCATGTGTTTTTGTATGCTTTTTGGAGACTCGATTGCGAAATCCTTCCGCCCCGAAGGTTTTTTGAAGGATTTCGGCATGCGCGCGCGACGATTTTGATAAAAAAAGGGATTCGTAAACAAGTGTTATGTTAAGACAAAACATGTCACCGCATAGTGTTTTTGTTACAAGGGACCCTCAGGGGGGATACCGGCCCCCCGGGAATAGTGCAAATTCAGATTTAGGATGGACATGTGGTCAGAATCTTATATGATTTACATAACCGGAAAAAGGGGCCCCGATAACGCCGGGGGGGGTAGATCCTATTTTTTCCTATAAAAAAGGGGAATCGATGTCTGTCTGCAATGAATTGTCCACTCCACTGCTCGCGTAAACACCCCACCGACCGACCCGCTGCTTGGTTTGCAAAACCCATGCGGCGGCGATTGCTATGAGTGCTTGGCGTTGGCTGGTCCATCTTTGCAGCCGCGCTAGCCCGCGCACGCACGCGCGCGCAGCGGCCACCTAGTTTGGCGAGACCGGCGCGGCCTCGGTGGCGATGGCCGCTGGGCACATCCAGCGGGCGCCTCAGTGCATGTCGGCGACATGGGCGTGCGCGGTATCATGGCAACGTCGACACCAGTAGACACTATGATGATAGATGCGATGATGGTGACGATGTCGGCAGCGACGACGGCGCGGCCAATGTCGGCGCCGATGCTGATCACGCCGACGGCGATGACGGCGTCCTCGCGTCCGTGATGAAGGTTTTGGGCAGATGTTGACATGCGCGCGCGGCCGACGCGCAAAATTGGCCGCGTGGTATCATTTGACACGGATCGTGCCCCCCAGCACGCTCGCAAGAGCGTTCGAATAGATTCGGCACGCGTCGCGGGAGGCCCGTTTGATACAATTCAATGGATATGTTGGTTTATAAATTTCGCAAGAGCGCGAGCGCCTTTCTTGAGCACCGGTGTTGCGAAAACATGTGTTTTAAACGGTTTTGGGACATTCGGCTTTGGTTATTTAAAGAAACCGGGAGTTTTTGATTGGTTCTGGCATGCGCGCGCGACGACGCGCGCGCGTGCATTTCGTTTCGTGTTTGCAAAAGGATGCTTGCGACAGCACGCGCGCAAAGACATTCGAACGATTTCGACGCGCGCGCGAAGCCCGCTTGGTAACATTGTATGAATCATGTGAAAAACCAATGGCTTGATCAGGACTTCGCAAAAGCGCGTGCGCAGTTTTTTAATATTATTATTTTTAAAAGAGAAGAATATTATATATATATATATATATATATATATATATATACCAAAGCGTGTTGCGAAACCATACGTTGTTTTTTATGCGTTTGGTCATTCAGTTTTGAATGTTTTACGAAACCTAACTTATATACAAATATACGCATATATATACACATATATACATATATGTGTGTGCTTTTTCGCGTCAAAAAAATGCATGCGCGCGCGACGGCGCGCGCGTGTGCACTTCTTCTTGAAAACGGATGACTCTTGATAAACGAGCGCGCAATCATACGATTTCTCGCAGAGGATGACCGGAGAGGGGCGATGCTGGCACCCCCTTGGGATTGTGTAAATTCATAGTTGGGAGGGGCGATGGGGCATAATCGTATGTTGTTTACAACACGAACAGGTGCACCGTTAACCCCAGCCTCCGGAGGGTGGTGGATCCGATTCTCTTTCAATAAGAGGAGAACCCATGGGGTACAGCCGTTGTCATGGCGCCGAGGCGGCGACGGGGCGGCTACGGCGACCACGGAACCTCCAGACTCCATGCCGACCCCCGGGCCCAGACGATTGTTGACGGCGACCACGTAGCCGCCAGATGATCCCAAGGCCCAGACGACGGGCGGTGGAGAGGCGGCGACGGGGCGACGCCGGCGACCACAGAGCCGCCAGACCGACTCCCACGCCCACGACCTTCGAAGCAAGCAATCAGAACTCATAAGGGCAAGCGGTGTTTGGGACATGCGGAGACAGGAAAGGCTCACAGGGAAGCTCTGCCAGGATGCCTGAACAGAACATGCACACGCAAGGTTACCGACGCCCACTTCCCCCGCCATTTCCTCTTCCACAATCCCGAACCTTCTCACGACAAGGGCCCTCACCGAGGGCGGTTCGCGGCAGGTCTGCGGATTCCAGCGCATCGGCTTCGGACGATCGAAGCAAACAACCTCATTGTCAACGGACGGGCGTTGGCTGCGCACGGGGGCGCCTACTTCCCCAACCCACTGCGCGCGAGAGCGCCCGCTGCCTGCAACCACTGCGGAAAAAATCATCCGCCGCAAGTGGAGGCCACACCACCCACGAGAGGCCGCCCCTGGGCCAAACGTACCCTTAATCAGGAAAGGCCCAAGAAACGCGCGTGCCCGCCTCCCCCGCATCCATGGCCATGTCCTCCTCCCCGTGTAGGCTGAGCCCGTCGTTTTCGTTTGTGGTTCGTTCGCTTGTGGTTCGCACCTGGCCTCCGTGCCACCAATTGATATCCCCCTCTGGGCCGCGGAACCATGCAGTTTCGGTCGAAGTTCGTTCGTTCGTGGTTCGTCCATGGCCTCCCTGGCCTAGCAAACTCCCTGAGCAGCGACTCCCCCGTGCAAGAGCCAGAGCGCGCGCGCCACATTGTTGAACCCTCTGGTGGGGGTCGCCTTGGGACCATTTGGGTTGTCCGACAAGCGCATTGGATGGCGGTCGGCGGTTTGTGGGAATAGGTGCGCTCTGAGCAAAGCTCAGCACACCAAACGCCAATGGATACCTCACATCGGGCGGCGGACCTAGCGGCATTCGGCCAATCCCGCCAGCGTGCCTGTGTCGTGAACCAGAGGTTTTTTGTTGGCTTCGTGGGGTCATTCGGGGAGCCTTTGGGAGCCTCTTTGGAGCTTCGGGTGCCATCTGTGGGCGATATGTGGGGCCTCATGGGCCGTCTCGTAATTTCCCATGCGAAGAGCGCGGCAGGGCTCAGAACATCGCAACCGGTGTTTGCTATTGAGCGATTTGGGCCTCTCGGGCGAGCAGACGCCCCAGCGACCCACGCAAGGCCGCCTACTATTCGATCCAATGCTATTGGAGTCACCGGCTGGGGCCGCGATTCCGATTCGATTCGGTTCGGCCCGATTCACCGGCATCGGTTGGGGCCAGTTGGAGCCAGGCGCGGCGATCCGATTCCGAGTTGGTTCGGGTGCGATTCGCTAGCTGGCGATCCGATCCGTTGACTTCACGAGTCGATCCAGCTCAGGCCTGCCCCCGTGATGGCTCCAGCACCAGCCTCTGGTACCACCTCAGGGAAAGTAGGAAGGCAGGGTGCGATCTAAAGAGAACGAGGGACAACGAAAACAGAACGAACAACGAAACACACTGTTAAGCTCGAGCCCTGTCGGAAGGTTGGATTTCCTGGAACGTGCACGGGGCCCCACGAGATGTCACGCGCCCAGGCCCCGAGAGCGCGCGGGCGGGCGCATTCATCTCAGCAATGTGGGACCCGAAGCCCGTAGGAGTGAAACAACCTTCAACATCGACGATCCTCGTCAATGACGATCGCATTGACGAACCTCGTCATCATCATCGTTGACGAGCTTCCCAAGTTTGGGACCTTCAACAGAAACAGTATCAATCGATGCTGAGTTCTTCTGTGCACTGCGCAAAAGATCTCAGCAACGATTGCCGATGACCTGAATGTGCTCGACTCCGTGCCTTCGGCACAGTGGCGTTCTCTTGTCCCAGAAGCGCTGAATGCTTTGACTAAATAAACGAGCGAGAGTTGGATCGATAAGGCAGCAGCTAGTCATGACGTATGCGAGGGAGGAAGGCGAAAGTGTTGGGAGTGAGAGGGGTCAGAGTCTGTTCAGTAAAAGCATGGCCCGTGCCGCAATCTCAGGTGACGTGGAGGGAATCATTGTCGTCGTAGATGCCACGGACAGCTTGCGATTTGTTGTGGCCAAGGAGCCATGGTTGGCGACGAGATCTGCCAAACTGCTGCCGTAGAGCGAGCACCTCCCCTGTCATTCTTCCGCCTGGTCGCCCTTCCTCCCGGCACCTCCCTCATCCCCCCCCTCCTCTCACCGACGGTAAGCGCCGCCGTCGGGCCGCTTGGACGGCCGTCTCCTCTGTGAGGTTGGGCTTTCTGGCATGTCGGTTGGTGGGTGGCCCTGTGCCGTTGGGCGGTGCAGGGCTTGCCTTCTAGCCTTCGTTGCTGGAAGGCTCAGCCTTGTCCGCTCGAAGAGTCCAATCCTCCTCCTCATCCTCCCTCCTTCTCCACTTGCTCCTCTTCTCCTGCTGCTGCGGAACACGTGTGGCGATCGGAAATCCCCTGGGTCGCCAAGATTTGCTGTAGCAGGTTCGTCTCCCGCCGCCAGCTGCTGCCGGTTTTAGCTGTTGCCAGCCCGCGTGTCGCTACGACACAGGCTGCCTGGTCAACGGTGCTTCACGATGGCGTTTGGGTCCACTGCTGCCCGCTTGTAGCTTTGGGTCGGGCCTTTTCCCCTACAGGGGGATTTTAGTAGACAAATAAAAAAATAGTCAAATACCCCAAAATGGTCAAAAAAAACGTCCCCATATTGTTTTTGGACTATTTTTCAATATGGGGTCTGGGTCCACTATTGCCCGGTTGTAGCTGTCTGGCTGCCCAAACTCGCTCTCGCATCGATTCCGTTTTTTGGGGCTTGTCGCAACTATTCGGACCAAGTTGTGGTACCGCCCATTCCCTCGAAAGCGCAATGGGATCAGATGTAATACAAATTTCGCAGGCATAGAGGTTGGCACCAACAATAATAGCGGCGGTGTGCCTCCACCGAGGGAAGACGATCCCGATCTCGGTGATGGTGGTAATATTCTGGCTTCCCTGGTGACCGAAATATTACCACCAACACCGAAATCTAGGATCATCTTCCCAATGTGGAGGCAGCCCCCTGTGCTGGTGTTGGTGCCAATTTCCAGGCCTCCAAAGATTGAGCGGTTGTCGTAGAAGTTCTCATTCGACGCTGTAAGTTCTCGGCCCCCAGCGCGGTTGGTGACATTGCGCGAGCGTTGGTATCACACGGGGCTGCTCAGGGCGTTCGGGTGGATTCCTTTTGGAACTAGCATGGGTCCTGACTGTAGCTATGCCTTGCGCCTTCTCGGAGGCAGTTGTTTTGGTTCAGCAGTTTTAGCATCCGGTAGGCTCGCGCGACACACCCTGTGAACGTCCAGGAGCGGTCGGAAACGCCCAGAGAATGATGCGAGATGGGGAAGCGCACAATTGTACGAGCCTCGGGGCGCCCCACTACTCGTCAAGGTACGATGCCGGACTTCTGCATACGCTCAAGCGAACCATTTTCGGCCGCCGTCTCTTCTTCTGCGACTGGGTGTGCAATACCCGCGCTGTTCCTAAATCCACTCCCTGGCATGACTCGCTCGTATGCCGTTGCTGTTGATGTTGGCGTTCCGAAGCCACCAACGAATCAAACATGGCGCGCTCCTTGTGATCGTTTTCTGATTCATTGTTTTGCCGATCGGCGCCGGCCCTCGCACCCCCCGTCTCCCCCCATGGAGTAGATCTTGGCTGTTTTGGGCGCCTGCCTCGAGAAGGTGGAGTCTCCCCCATTGGACGCACCCTTGCAAACAGTCGCGCTAAGCAGAGGTCTGGAGCCAGACCCCCCCTTCTTCCCCTTGGGCCCAATGTCCTAGCGCCGAAAAAAAGACAACGCTCACCTTGAGGTTTGACGATCTTTTGGGCGCCTGCAGGCGCACAGCCTGGGGGACCGGGTTCAGCCAGCGAGTTGCGCGTCTCTGACTGGCGCCGCCTTCGAGCGCAGCATTGCGAGCGATTTCCACGCAGCAGCCCCGCGAGCTGCACAGGGCCGATGGAGCGCTCCGCAGCACTGCTCGGCGGGCGGGCCACAGCCACCAGTTTGCTGTCGGCATAGGGTTGGCCGAGTCGTGCGTTGGTGGATGCTGCGAGCACTTGTGGGCCCATGTGTGGTACAGGGGTCTCGTAGCTTTGCCCGCCTGTTTGCCTTGATCCCCTTCGCACTTTGTCATGATGCGACTCGACGGTTCAAAATATCATATGAAAAAGCATGTGGCCATGTGTGTGTGTCGTTGTGTCTGTGTATGTATATGTGTTGGTTCGTGTATGTGCGCACGGGTATTCATTTGTATAGTCATGCACATATAGATGTGAATGTGAGTAGGTGTGTGTAGGTGTGCAGTTTGAGTGGATGAACACATGGAACGTAGTTGTAAGTGTATAGCACGGAGTATTCATTCGGGGATGTTGGCATGTGCAGGTGCAGGTGGATGAGGAAGGCTATGCTGGAAAAAGGAAGGTGATATTCCAGGTCATTTGTCGTAGCGAGGGGTAGTTATTGAGGATGTCCATAGGCTTGATGGCGGTGTATCCGCGAATAGCTAATGGACTTGCTGGCCTCATCAGAGGCATTTCCGCTGTCTTGTCTGTTGTCTATCTGAGTGGTTGCGGGCGCATATGCCTGATGCCATCAGGCAGCGGCAGCAGACAAGATGCACCTCCGACATCACCATCCACTGACACCACCATTCACCGCGACATCCATTGCCGACCTTAGGGGGCCACGCAAGGGCAGGTGGACAGCACGGGCAATTTACCGAACGTTTCGGCTGGTGCAGAAAGGGAGGGCCTTGCCAGGATGAGCTCCAGCAGATGATGGGCAACCCCGCTGTGTCCGAGGGCAGGATGCCCATTCTGTGCCTCCATTCGAGCCCGTCGGTCCGTGGAGTCGCCGAGAAATCGCGGGAGGCAAGTGGCACGGCTTGAGTGAGAGAGCGGGCCACTTGCCATGCGAAGTCGTGCCCTCATTTTTGTTATTTCCTCCGCATCCCACCCCGTCCTCTCCCGTCCGCTTGCATGTTCTTCCCTCTGGGGCGGTTTGGGTCAGTCCAGGCGTGCACGCGCGTGCGAGCGTGCGCCGAGTCACCCAGCGTGATCGGGGGCGTCCTCGGATCGCGCGCGCCTCGTCTTCCCGCACTGGGCGTTGCTCCAAGAGGTGCGTGCTCATGATGCTCTCGCCATAAAGGAAAGGGTTCATAAGGGAAACTTGTCAGGGACCCCAGGGCTTCCCCCGAGGATACTCTGTTCTTTCATCTCGGGAGGAAAGAGCGTGTGGCTCCTCCGGTTTGCCAGAAGATCTGTGCTCTCTTCAGCTGTAGCACGCTAATGGGTACCGTTCTTCATCCCCTTGGCGATAACAGGCGTGACCACGTCGCGATTCCCGCTGGCGCCGTCAGGGAATGCCGAGAAACGGCTAACCTCTGGAGGCCTTTTGTTGTACCCCCCCCCATTTTCCCTCTGCGGTGAATAAGACTGGTCCTAAAACTGGTCCCTCCTCTACCTCCTGCTCCGCCTGCTACTCTTCCACCTCCTCCTCCTCTTCCTCCTCCTCTGCTACGTTGGAACAGCGTAAGGGACGAGCCTGTCGCGTACATTCTTCCTCCTCCCCCCTTTCCCCTTCCTTCTTCTCCTCCTCTTCCTCCTCTTCCTCCTACTCGTCGTCCTCCCACTCCTCCTCGTGTTATTCCTGAGGAGGAGGATGGTATGAGGAGGAGGAGAGGGAAAGGAGGAGGAGGAGGAGGAGGAGGATGAGAGAAAAGGAGGAGGAGGAAGAGGAGGAGGAGGAGCAGAGGCAATACGAGAAGATAAAAAACGGGGGGCCCTCGTGATGGCTAGACCCTGGCGCATGAGAGTGCAATGCCAATGAGAAGTGTCTGCGCTACTTCTACTGCTACTCGCCCCTCCTGCTGCTGCTGCTCCTCCTCCTTGTCCTCCTCCTCCTACCCCCGTCCTCCTCGTCCTCCTCCTTGTCCTCCTCCTGTTCCTCCTCGTGGTCGTTATCGTTGTCGTAGTCTTCGTCGTGGTCTCGTCGCGTCGGAGATGAATTTCCTTCTTTCGTTGGGCGGGATGGGTGATGTTGTGGGGTTCCTTCTACCAGGGAATCATCAGTTGTGGGATACCCTGCGCGCGAACGAATATGTGAGCATCTTCTCGTGAGGATTGCAATGGGAATCAGTGGTTGTGGTTGTAGTCGTCATTGTAGCCGTGGTTGCAATCGCGATTGTAAGCGTGAGTGTAGTCGCGATTGTAGTCGTAATCGTAGTCGTGGTTGTAGTCGCAATCGTAGTCGTAATCGTCGTCGTCGCGGCGGAGATGCGTTTCCCTCTATTGATGGGCGGGCTGGATAATGTTGGGGGGGTCTTTCTCCCCGGGGATCATGCTCCCTGGGCTACCGTGCACGACAGGAATTGTTGAGCACGTTTCTAAGAGGATTGCAATATTGATCGACACCTTCTTCGCCGAAGGCGTTGCTCTCCTCTTCCTCTTCCCCCCCCTCCTTCTCCTCCGAGCTAGGATTTTGCGTGAGAGCGCCTCTGAGGGATAAGTAGTATCAGCCGTCGTCGTAGGCGTCGTTGTCGTCGTCGTTGTTGCGCGGCGGTTGCCGCGGACCAACGACGACAGCGACGCCCTATTGGTGGGACCCCAGTCCTTCAATGAGGCCGAGGAAAATTAATTTGTCACCAATATTCCGGGGGGGAGGTTCGAACGACCTGCCACGGTTATTTCCCACGCGGCGCCTGCGCGAATCGTAGCGGAAGTGAGCAGGGGAGGGGGAGGGCGGGGACCGATCACGGGCGATACATCGCAAATGCAGTGGAGACCCATGCCAAGACACCCTGCTTGCCTCCAGGGTGCCCTGGAATTCTTGGGTTTCGACGGTTTTGAGATGGAGAGCGTGGCATTCCCACACCACACACCCATGAAAGTCCTGGGGTCTCAGGGTTGGGTTTCTCGTGGGAGGTCTCTTGTGGACTGGCCTCCGCTGTAATGACACAACTCGGTTTGAGCCGTGTTTCCAGGGTGCCGGGGCCCGCGGAGGGCCCCGGGTCGGAGGGCCCTGCGAGCCCCTCGAAGAGGCCCATTTGCCTTCTGAGAGGGCCGCCGGGACTGCTCGCATCCCTTCGATGTGTTTTCCACGAGGAGGACCTTTCGAAGTGTTCTCGTGGAAGACGGCCGAACATCGTACCTCACCGCGCTGCGCGAGGGGAAGTGGAGACATTGCGCGCTTACAGGAGTAGGCCGTTCTTGTGTGTGTGTGTTTGTTGTTGTTGTTGTTGTTGTTGTTGTTGTTGTTGTTGTTGTTGTTGTTGTTGTTGTTGTTGTTGTTGTTGTTGTTGTGGTTGTGGTTGTGGTTGTGGTTGTTGTGGTTGTGGTTGTGGTTGTTGTTGTTGTTGTTGTTGTTGTTGAACATTATTTATTCTAAAGAATAATTATTGTTGGGGCCCCTGGTGCGCGCCCCCCTCGCCGCGCCTAGGCCGCAGCCACATTTTCATCATTTTCGTGAGGAAGTCTCAGGCAAAACGTGGGTGTCCGGATCCGGTTGTTTTGTTGACGCCCGCTTTCCCTTGCAAAAAACACTATAAAATGAAATTTCTTGTTCTAACATAACCAAACTTCAAGAATCCTTTGAAAAAATGACACGAAGTGCACACTCGCGC